GCGGGCTCAGGCAATCCACTCACCTCAGCCTCCCAAAGGCGCGGGATTACAGGCTGAGCCACTGAGGCCGGCTTGGGTAATTTTTTTGATTTATTATAGAGAGGAAGTCTCATCAAGTTGCCCAGGCTGGTCTCAAACCCCTGGGCTCAGGCAATCCTCTTGCCTAAGCCTCCCAAAGTGCTGGGATTATAGGCATAAACCAATGCTCCCAGCCAGCTGGAATATTTATACACCCATTCCAGTCAGTTATTGGCTGAGGGACCTCAATTCTCTGGCATTTCCAGATGTTGTGCAAAGATTGGTCAGGACACCAACCAAACCAACAAAAAAAAAACCCCTGGGTGAAGAGATAAGTGATGCTGTTTTTGGAAGTCAGGGGAACACCCTAGTGGTAAGGCCCAAGGGGTATGGGTGGGCCAAGGATAGATCCACTACAACCACAAATAAGCTTGTTGAGCAATGCTGAATCCCCGGCTAAAATCACACACTAAGACTGTGAACCTGATGGGTATGGTGGCTCAGGCCTGTGGTCTCAGTTACTTAGGAGACTGAGGTGGGAGGGTCACTTGAGCCCAGGAGTTTGATGCTGCAGTGAGTTATGATCATGCCGTTGTACTCCAGCCTGGGTGACACAGTGAGACCCTGTGTCTAAAAAAAAAAAAAAAAAAAAAAAAAGCCTAGTTTTCCAGCTTGGGACTTGGGGGTTGATCTGGGAATGGGAATCAGCCCTACAGTTGCCGCAGAAGACTGAGGGGTGGCAGATTCTAGGACGTTAGGGAAGTCCATGTCCAAGTGTCCAGACTGGATAAGTAGTAGATTTTGACCACACAATGGATTGCCCCATGCTATCTACCACTTTCTTAGGACATTTTCAAGGTGCTAAGTTCTCCAGAGGAGTAATAGGTCATCCTGAGAGGACATTACATGTTTTTTTTTCACCTGTGCATAGGGGATGAGGGACAGAATTTGGGGTGCTGGTTTCTTCTTTCTGGATTGGTCCTCTGGAAACAGAAGACTTGGATTGATAAAAAGAAATTTGGACAGGATGGAAGAAGCTGTCAGGGGCAGATCTGTCTTTTTAGGTATTGTTCACCTCCTTTCTTCCATCTGGAGTGGAACACAGGTTGCAATTGCCAGAATTTTGAACGACGCAAGAAATAGAAAAGCTAAGGTCACCCTCACCCAGGGTGTTCTACTGCAAAGTTACTGGGAAGCACAGAGGGGAAAAAAGATTTGGCATCTTCAGCCCCAGAGCTGGGTGACTGGATGTCCCCCTAAACATCTCTTACCATGGAGAGAGGAAGAACAGATACTTGAGGGTGAAGGAGGCGCCAGTAGCTCTGCCACAGCAGCAGCTTTGGAACCCCCAACACCAGGGTGACCTGGTCTTCATGCATTCAGTCCTGTCCAAGGGGAGCCCTGCTTGGTGTATATTTGTTTCCATTAAGTTATTTGTAAATCTTGTCAGATGTGGTGGCTCACACCTGTAATCCCAGCACTTTGGGAGGCCAAGGTGGGAGGGTTGCTTGAGCTCAGGAGTTTGAGACCAGCCTGAGCAACATAGCGGACCTTGTCTCTACAAAAAAGCAAAAAATAAAAAAAATAACCGATCATGGTGGCACGTGCCTGTAGTTCCAGATGTTCAGGAGACTGAGGAGGGAGGATTGCTTGAACCCAGGAGTCTGAGGCTATAGTGAGCTGCTATTGTGCCACTGTCCTCCAGTCTAGGCAACAGAGTGAGAACCCCAACTCAAAAATAAAGTTATTTGTAAATCAAAAGAGTTTTTGCAAGCTTAAGTGATCACTTCAGAGAGGGTTCATCTTCATTTTTGTTTTATATTATTTATTTATACCCCACATTGTTCAACAAGGTATTTATTTATTTATTTTTTTGAGTTGGAGTCTCACTCTGTCGCTCAGACTGGAGTGCAGTGACCGCTCCTGGCCACTGCAGCCTCAACCTGCTGGGCTCTGGTGATCCTTCCGCCTCAGCCTTCCAAGCAGCCGGAATTACAGGCACGCTACCACGCTCGGTTAATTTTTTGATTTATTGTAGAGATGAGGTCTCACCAAGTTGCCCAAGCGGGTCTCGAACCCGTGGGTTCAGGCAATCCACTCACCTCAGCCCCCCAAAGCACGGGATTACATGCTGAGCCACCGAGCCCGGCTTCAACAAGATATTAAAGAGATTTCTGTGGGTTGGGGAGACTAACACACTAGCTTAAAGTTTATTTGTTTTTTTAAACTGATATTTATTTATTTGAGTTGGAGTCTCACTCTGTTGCCCAGGTTGGAGTGCAGTGGCACCCTCACAGCCATCGCAGCCTCAACCTGCTGGGCTCAGGTGATCCTTCCACCTCAGCCTTCCAAGTAGCTGGAACTACAGGCATGCGTTACCATGCCCAGCTAATTTTTATTTATTTATTATAGAGATGAAGTCACTCCAAGTTGTCCAGGCTGGTCTCAAACCCCTGGGCTCAGGCAATCCTCTCACCTCAGCCTCCCAAAGTGTTAGGGTTACAGGCATGAGCCACTGTGCCTGGCAGCTTAAAGTTTCTTTACCTCTTGTATTTCATACAAATATAGGTTATAATTTAAAGGCACATTGCAAACACTAAAACTTTTATTCCTCATGTAACCGACCCCTAGTTAATGTATTTTGTAAATTGGGAATTTTATCTACTGGACTTTCCATTAAAACATTATAATCATTTTCCCTATCTCCAAAACTAAGTGTTGGTTTCATTTTGATCCTTAGATTCTCTCTGGGGAAAGATTGAAAGAAGGAAAAGGACTGTGAACCTTCCTTTTTATTAAAAAGTTTTAAGAAAATTAGTCTCAATCCCTTGGAAGTTTATGTTAAAGAACCCACTTTTTAGGCTTCAGAAAGTACAGCCCACTGGGCAAAACCCAAAAGAAAACTAAAACTTTACTGAAATAAAGTGTTCTGCAATGCTTTGAATGGGTTTGTGTGCTTCAGAATATGCATGCAAGAGCAAGTGTGCATGAATGCACACGTGTGTATGCATGTGAGCACGTGTGTACCTGTGTGTGTGTTAGCCTGCGAGTGTGTGTATGTGCACATGCACATGTATTGTGGGTGGAGTTTGGGAACAGCACAGAGAGCCTGTGGGGAAGATCTATTGTCATTATAGATATATTGGTATTAGGCAGACAGGGCAAAGGTTTCGCCCCGCCCCCCCAGCTCAGTCCCCAGCTCTGCTAATTTTTTTCCTAACAAGAGACCATCCTCCTTGCCACTCCCTAGTTTCCCTTCTCTGGCAACGAATGAAGCAGCTGCTGAGCCAGCTTTGGTTTTCGGGAAGTCAGATGACCTTTTCCCTCCCGTGGCAGTCTGCCTCTCCCAGGCCCTAGGGAAGACACCATGGACCTAATGTTTCTCCTTTGCCTGCTGTCCCTGTACCCAGGTAGGAGGCAGGGGGAGGGGGGATGTCAGGGTCCTGGGGCAAGGCCAGTGCTACCAGGTGGAGCACCTACATGTGAAATGGACAGTCTCTTTTGCTTTCCTTTTCTCAACTGTGCCTGCCTTCTTTTCCCTGTTGTTGTCTCTGTGTTCTCACACCCTCAGGCCTGGCAGCCTCCACTCCCTCCTGCCCTCCGAATGTGAACATCTCTGGTGGCACTTTCACGCTCAGCAACGGCTGGGCGCCTGGGAGTCTCCTCACCTACTCCTGCCCTCAGGGCCAGTACCCATCTCCAGCATCGCGGCTGTGCAAGAGCAACGGACAGTGGCAGACCCCAAAGGCCATTCGGCTGACTAAGGCAGTCTGTAAATGTGAGGCTCCCCACAGGCCATGCTCAGGGCATCCTGCTAGGGGCCACCTAGAAGTTCTGTTTAGGAGTTGTTCTGGGTGGGGCTTAACCTGACTGGATGGTGTGGGAGGGTTAGCAAAGCTGCTTTTGAAGAAGGCCCTTCTAGATATCCAGAAAATGTCAATTATTGTAGCAAGGAGTTGGAGGCAGGCTTTATGGAGACTGTGGGGTAGTAAAGCCAGGGATGATTTTTTATGTAAAGTTGACTGCAAGGCATTAAGAATGGATGCTGGGGCAATCCCCTCAGGTCCCCTCCCACAGTGGGAGCTTTATTGTTGTCTCAATAAATCCTGCTTTAAAAAAATAAAAGGAATGGATGCTGAATTGTTCTAGAGTTCTCTGGACATCCGAAGATCCCAGGGGAGGGGGTGGCCATGACCCTCGGGAAAAGTGCTTATTTATCAATCAATTAGTTTGTGAAAATTTTCCAATACTTGACCAGTGACCAAAACCAGCAGTTTTATATGATGCAAGTCAATACTTAGGTGTTTTAACAACCAGCTGGCCATTCCCATGCATCCCAGCAGAATATCACCTGCTGAGTGCCCAGCCCAGGTGTGATCTATCTTTCCCTATATCTCTCAAACTCTGCCCTGCTCTCTCTCCAGCTGTTCGATGTCCAGCCCCTGTTTCCTTTGAGAACGGCATTTACACCCCACGGCTGGGATCCCACCCCGTGGGTGGCAACCTGAGCTTTGAGTGTGAGGATGGTTTCATGTTACGGGGCTCGCCAGTGCGGCAGTGTCGCCCCAATGGCATGTGGGATGGAGAAACAGCCGTGTGTGACAATGGGGGTGAGTTACAGATGAACTGCGTGGGGCTGGGGACTCCTGGGGAACCCTGGAGCCAAATGTGTGCCCAGTGAACCTCTGTGGGGACAGGGGCCTATTGTTCCCTGTGCCACAATAATATTCCTGGGTTTTGGTAAATGGAGGACTATAGGTTATATGTCACCAGTCTGCAGGGGCCCTGGCCCCAGGCTGTTGGTGCTAAACTTCAGTTCCAACATAAAGGGTACATACACACTGTCCAGCTTTCCTTTCTTTCTTTTTACTTTTTTGAGTCAACCCAGATTGGAATGCAGTGGCATGCTCATGGCCACTGCAACTTCGACCTGCTGGGCTCAGGTGCAATTTTATTGTAGAGTTCAATTGTTATTGTAGATATGAGGTCCCACCATGTTGCTCAGGCTGGTCTCAAACCCCTGAGTTCAGGAAATTTTTTTGCCTCTGCCTCCCAAAGTGCTGGGATTACAGGTTTGAGACACCGCACCCAGCCCTGCTCTTTTCTAAATACCTGAATGCTATTCAGGCCTCACGGATTATTGCAGGGAAGATATGGTGGGAGAGGGTTGAGTACTGTGTTTAAGTACTTTGCAGATTTGAGTTCCAAGTCCGGCTCTGACTTTGACAGCCTTTGGGCAGGTTATTCAACCTCTCTGTGCCTCTGTTTTTACATCTGTGAAATGGGCATAGTAGGAGTGCTGATCTTACAGGATTGCCATCTGGATTAAATGAGTTAATATTAGTAAGCATCTAGAACAGTTCCTGGAATCTGATAAATGCCACATACAATTTTTTGTTTGTTTGTTTGTTTGAGATGGGGTCTCAGTATGTTGCCCAAGCTGGCCTCAAACTCCTGGGCTCAAGTGGTCCTCCTGTTTCAGCCTCCTGAGTAGCTGGGACTATAGGCATGCACTATTGCACCTGGCCACATACACGTTCATCATGGTTATTAGTGTCCTTGTGAATGGTGAGGGACTCTGCCTAGCAGAAGTGAGGCTCCCAGAATGACTGTGGGTTTGGGCAGCTTCTTGAATCATAGTTCTGAGCACACAATACCAAAGACACAGAGTCTACAAAATGGCAGGACCATCCCCTCTCCCAGTGGACCACCTGATGGCTTCCCACTCATACCCTTGAGTCTTTGTCAAATACTCATTTATTTAAACATAACTGTTATTTATTTAATTTAATTTTTTTGGGGGGGGTTGGAGTCTCACTCAGTCGCCCAGACTGGAATGCAGTGGCCACTCCCGGCCACTGCAGCCTCGACCTGCTGGGCTCCGGCAATCCTTCTGCCTCAGCCTTCCAAGTAGCTGGAACTACGGGCGCTTGCTACCACGCCTAGCTAATTTTTTTGATTTTTTGTAGAGATGAGGTCTCGCCAAGTTGCCTAGGCAGGTCTCAAACTCGCAGGCTCAGGCAATTCACTCACCTCAACCTCCCAAAGTGCAGGATTACAGGCTGAGCGACCGAGCCCGGCCTATTTAATTTAATTTTAATTTTAATTTTTGAGTCTTAGTCTCACTGTTGCCCAGGCTGTAGTGCAGTGGCTTGCTCATGGCCACTACAGCCTCAACCTGCTAGGCTCAGGTGATCCTTCCACCTCAGCCTTATAAGTAGCAGGAACCACAGGCATGCGCCATCATGTCTAGCTAATTTTTTGATTTATTGTAGAGGCAAGGTCTCACCATGTTGCTCAGGCTGGTCTTGAATCCCTGAAATCCTCTCAACTCTGCCTTTCAAAGTGCTGGGATTACAGGTGTGAGCCACTGTACCCAGCCTATTTATTTTAAAATTGAGGTATAATCTACCTATAGTAAAATGTACACATCTTAAGTACTCAGCTTGACAAGTTTTTACACATGTATCCACCTGTGTAATCACCATTCAAGACTGAGCACACATCCATTGCTGTAGGAGGCTCCCTTGTGTCCTCTCCCACAAGACAACCATCCTTCTGGCTTGTCTCCAAAGGTTAGTTTAGCTTGTTATTACACAGCACACAAATGGAATCCTACAAGATGTGGTCTTCACATCTGGCTTCCTTGTTCAACAATCTGCCTGTGAGATGCACCTATGTTGTTGTGTGTAGTTTGTTCTTGTTTATTGTGGTATAGCATTTCATTCTATGACTATATTACAATGTATTTATCCAGTCTCCAGTTGATGGGTGTTTGGGTTAGTTCCAGTTTAGGGATGCTTAAGTAAAGCTCTACGAACATTCTAGCATGTGAATTTTGGTGCACATATGCATTTGTTTTTCTTGAGTAAATGATCTAAATGTGAAATTGTCAGTCAGGCTGGCATATGCTTAGCTGTAGTAGAGGCTGACAAACAACCTCACCCATGGACATGCTAGCAAGATAACAGAGTTCAGGTCATTCTACATCCTCTCCAATACTTGAAATTACCTGTTATTTTAGTGTTAGCCATTCTGGAGGGTGTGTGGTGATGCCTTCTTGTGGTTTATGAAATGCAGATATTCTTTTTGGAGGTGTAGGGCTCTTCAGCCAACATCTTCCCTGGGGCTCTGGGACATACACAGGGTGAGTTCCTGAGCTGAGACTGGGAAGCTTCAGCTGGCAACTGGGTTCTGAATGCTTTGCCCTCCTCAAGGTTCTCCATCCACACCCATGGGAAGCACAGTTCCGGTGTCACCCAAGGGGGAGACCAAGGAACCCTTGGAGGCTCTGAGGGTCTAGAGAGGAGGAAGAGCCTGACAGGAGGAGGCTACTCACCTGTCTTCCTTTGTTTACTTGCAGCTGGTCACTGCCCCAACCCAGGCATTTCAGTGGGTGTGGTGCGGACAGGCTCCCGCTTCGGCCTTGGGGATAAGGTCAGGTACCGCTGCTCCTCGAATCTGGTGCTCACGGGCTCTGCGGAGCGGGAATGCCAGGCCAATGGGGTCTGGAGTGGGACAGAGCCCATCTGCCGCCGTGAGTAGCTGGACTGCCCTTCTGAGACTGGGCACCCCCAACTTCCGCTCTGGCTGACCCCGGTGTGGCTCTTCCCACAGAGCCCTACTCTTATGACTTCCCTGAGGATGTGGCCCCTGCACTGGGAGCCTCCTTTTCCCATCTGCTTGAGGCTACCAATCCCACCCAGAAGAAGAAGGGTGAGTGTTTGAGGCAGGGACAGCTGGGAGCTGGGTCTGGGCTGGAGCATGGGAGGGAGTGAGCTTCCTAGAATCCAGGGAGCCTGGGTGGGCTCAGTGACTCAAAAGGAGGCAGAAAGGCCGGACTCCCTTGGCAGGAAGGAAGTGGGGATCTGATTCTTCTCTTTCCATGCTTCTCCAGAAAACCTGGGCCGTAAAATCCACATCCAGCGCTCTGGTCACCTGAACCTCTATCTGCTCCTGGATGCCTCTCAGAGCGTGTCGGAAGACAACTTTCGTGTCTTCAAGAATAGTGCCTCCCTCATGTTGGACAGGGTCAGGAATCAAGAATCTACATGCAGAGAAGGCCTTCCTGCACACACTCTCTTTCTCCTTCCCTTCTTCAGAGTCCCACTCACAGCCCAGAAGTCTTCTCAGATTATATTATGCCAGGCAGAAATCATGAATTCAAATTATATGATTGTAATTTTTATTCCACAATAATAGTTGGGACACTGTGCTGGTGACTGGGGGACACTAAGATGAACAAGGCCAAGGTCTTCCTTTCTAGGATTTCATCATCTAGAACAGTGATCTTTACAGAGGGGTATTGAGATAACCTGTGAGAATGTGGCAGAAAAATACTGGTGCCCTTGTTGAATAATTTAAATCAAATTAATAATTTATTTTTTATTGTTTTGAGTTGTAGTCTCACTCTGTCACCCAGATTGGAGTGCAATGGAATGCTCATGGCCACAGCAGCCTCTACCTGCAGGGCTCAGATGATCCTTCCGCCTCAGCCTTCCAAGTAGCTGGAACTACAGGCACCTGCCACCATACTTGGCTAATTTTTTTGACTTATTGTAGAGATGAAGTCTCACCAAGTTGCCCAGGCTGGTCTCGAACCCGTGGGCTCAGGCAATCCTCTCACCTCCGTCTCCCAAAGTGCTGGGATTATAGGCATGAGACACTGCACCTGGCTAAATTAATAATTTAATATTTAATAACTGCCTTTTTTTGAGTTAGAGTCTCACTCTGTCTCCTAAGCTGGAGTGCAGTAGCACACTCATAGCCACTGCAGCCTCGACCTGCTGGGCTCAGGGGATCCTTCTGCTTCAGTCTTCTAAGTAGCTGGAACTACAGGCATGCGCCATCTCATCTGGTTAATTTTTTTGATTTATTGTAGAGATGAGGTCTTGCCAAGTTATTGTAGAGATGAGGTCTTGAACCTATGGGCTCAGGCAATCCTCTCATCTCGACCTTAATAACTACCTTTAAATGCTTCAATGTTTTGTGTAGGCTTTACAATGTGCAGGATATATTTGAATAGTGACAGACTTCCATAATTTTTTTTTTTTTTGAGTCAGACTCTCACTGTCCCCCAGGCTGGAGTGCAGTGGCATGCTCACGGCCACCACAGCCTCCATCTGCTGGGCTCAGGTAATACTTCTGCCTCAGCTTTCCAAGTAGCTGGAACTATAGGCGCGTGCTACCATGCACAGCTAATTTTTTGATTTATTGTAGAGACGAGGTCTCATCAAGTTGCCCAGGCTGGTCACGAACCCCTGAGCTCAGGCAATCCTCTTGTCTACACCTCCCAAAGTGCTGGGATTACAGGCATGAGTCACCATGCCAAGCTGACTTCTATAATTTATAGCCCATAATCCTCTATCAGGACATGTGCCCACATGTTTTTATAACAGGATACACAAACAGAATAATTTGGAAACCACTGGCTGAGGGTCCTTATTGGCGCTTTGTTTTATAATCATGCTTTTCACAATAACTCCCAGCAATATTTTTCCTCCCAGCCATATTTTATTTAATTTAATTTTCTTATTTATTTATTTATTTATATTTGAGTCAGATTCTCACTCTGACGCCCAGGCTGGAGTGCAGTAGCACGCTTGTGGCCACCGCAGCCTCAACCTCCTGGGCTCAGGCAATCCTTCTGTCTTAGCCTTCCAAGTAGCTGGAACTACAGACATGCGTTACCATGCCCAGCTAATTTTTTGATTTATTGTACAGAAGAGGTCTTGCCATGTTGCCCAGGCTGGTCTTGAACCTGTGGGCTCATGGAATCCTCTCACCTCTGCCTCCCAAAGTACTGCAATTACAGGTGTGAGCCACTGCACCCAGCTTGTTGTTTTTTAAGTGGGGGTTCACTTGTCCAGGCTGGAGTGCAGTGGCATGGTCACAGTTCACCGCAGCCTCAACCTTCTGGGTTCAGGCAATCACAATTTCCTTACCTTTAAAACTGGGATCATCACAGTCTCTCACAGGATTGGTATGAGGTTTAAATGAGGAGGGAACCTTTCAAAGATAAAAGATGTCAACAAATGTTGCTTCCCTGGCTTCTTCTAAGCAGCCATTTCCTAGTGTCTCCCCATGGCCCTTGCCTCTATTCGTCTTGGTCTAGGCTTTCTGCCTCCTTTTTTTTTTTTGGAATTGGAGTCTCACTCTGTTGCTCAGGCTGGAGGGCAGTAGCATGCTCACGGCCACCACAGTCTTGACCTGCTGGGCTCAGACGATCCTTCTGTCTCAGCCTTCCAAGTAGCTGGCACTACAGGCATGCTAATTTTTTGATTTATTGTAGAGATGAGGTCTTGCCAAGTTGCCCAGACTGGTCTCAAACCTGTGGGCTCAGGCAATCCTCTCACCTCAACCTCTCAAAGTGCTGGGATTATAGGCGTGAGCCACTGCGTCCGGCTAACTTTCTGTCTCCTTAAAGGGCCCTTTGCTTGCTCTTGCCATCTCCCCTTTGGTTTCAGAGCTCTCACACTGCCTCTCACTTGGCCTGCACAGATCTTCAGCTTTGAGATCAACGTCAGTGTTGCCATCATCACCTTTGCCTCAAAGCCCAAAGTCCTCATGTCTGTCTTGGATGACAATTCCCGTGATGTGACTGAAGTGATCAACATTCTAGACAATGCCAACTATAAAGGTATAGATGTCATGAGGGTGATGAGAGGGGAGAGGATGGACTCTCTTGGGGCCTGCAGACAGATTTTGGACAAGTTAGAGAGAGAGAGTGAGGCCTCTTGGTGGTACTTGAGTTCTAGGGCTCCAGGGTAGCTTCTAAGTCCAGGTCATAGTGGGGAGCCCACTGTAACATGCTGTCAGTCCAAATGCACTGAGTAGGTCTTCAGCTTCTTCCAGATGGTCTGGTTTTTGTGGATTCACACTGCGGTCTCCCTATGTCATTTTTTTACCTGTACATGGTGCTCACTACCTGGGTGGCAGGTGACCTGAAGCAACTCGTTTTTGGAAACCTCATTTTTGAATCTTGGGACCTCAGAGTGGTCTTGGATTGGGGTTATGCAAAGAAAATTTCTTTTTTTTTTTTTTGAGTTAGAGTCTCTCTGTCACCCAGACTGGAGTGCAGTGGCACACTCCTGGCCACCGCAGCCTCGACCTGCTGGGTTCCGGCGATCCTTCCGCCTCAGCCTTCCAAGTAGCTGGAACTACAGGCGCGCGCTACCACACCCGGCTAATTTTTGATTTATTGTAGAGATGAGGTCTTGTCAAGTAGCCCAGGCTGGTCTCGAACCCACGGGCTCAGACAATTCACTTGCCTTGGGCTCCCGAAGTGCTGGGATTACAGGCTGAGCCACTGAGCCCTGGTCGCAAAGAGAATTTCTAAGGTGGAAAGGCTTTCAGTACCTGAACAGGCAATGGTGACAAATCTCTATCTGCATAGCAAAGGTCTTTTATCAAAACAATGGATAAATCGCATCTCCAGTGGTTGGGGGAATAGAGTGATTCCCTACCCCAATGTGGTAAGTGGGAAGTTATGGGGTTTTTTTGAGTCGGAGCCTTACTCTGTTGCCCAGGATGGAGTGCAGTGACACACTCATGGCCACCGCAGCCTCGACCTACAGGGCTTAGCTGATCCTTCCACCTCAACCTTCTAAGTAGCTGGAACTACAGGCACATGCCACCACACTCAGCTAATTTTTTTGATTTATTGTGGAGATGAGGGCTCACTATGTTGCCCAGGCTAGTCTCGAACCCGTGGGCTCAGGCAATCCTCTCACCTCGGCCTCCCAAAGTGCTGGGATTATAGGCGTGAGCCATTGCGCTTGGCCTCTTTTTTTTTTTTTGAGTTGGAGTCTCACTCTGTCACCCACACTGGAGTGCAGTGGCATACTCACAGCCACTACAACCTCGACCTGCTGGGCTCAGGTGATCCTTTCACCTCAGCCTATCTTCTGCCTCAGCCTTCCAAGTAGATGGAACCGCAGGCACATGCGCCACCACACCTAGCTAATTTTTTTATTTATTGTAGAGATGAGGTCTTACCAAGTTGCCTAGGCTGGACTTGAACCCCTGGACTCAGGTAATCCTCTCGCCTCCATCTCCCAAAGTGCTGGGATTACAGGTGTGAGCCACTGCACTCACTTAACACCGGCTAATTTTTTGATTTATTGTTAGGGATGAGGTCTCGTCAAGTTGCCCAGGCTGGTCTCGAATCCCCAGACTCAGGCAATCCTCTCGCCTCTGCCTCCCAAAGTGCTGGGATTACAGGCATGAGCCACCGTGCCCTGCCAGGTGGGAATTTTCTAAGAGAGTTTTTCCTTTTGGCATATTCCAGATCATGAAAATGGAACGGGGACCAACACCTACGAGGCCCTAAACTGTGTCTATATCATGATGAGTAACCAAATGGAACGCCTCGGCATGGAAACGATGGCCTGGCTGGAAATCCGACACGCCATTATCCTTCTGACGGATGGTGGGTACCATCATCTCTGTTAGTGGGTCTGGAACAATGGAAGGAGAACTATTAGGAAATAAGAAGACCTGCATTCTAGTTCTCCCCCTGTCACTTTGGGTCCCAGTTTCTTGTCTGTAACAGAAATCATGATGATGATGATGGTAACCACAGCGACAGCAATGGTGATAATGACGGCTGCCCTCCATTTTTTTTTTGAGTTGGAGTCTCACTCTGTCACCCAGGCTGGAGTGCAGTGGCATGTTCACAGCCACCGCAGCCTCGACCTGCTGGGTTTAGGCGATCCTTCCGCCTCAGCCTTCCAAGTAGCTGGACTACAGGCACGTACCACCACATCTGGCTAATTTTTTTTATTTATTGTAGAGATGAGGTCTCGCCAACTTGCCCAGACTGATCTTGATTTGAACCCATGGACTCAGGCAATCCTCTCACCTTGGCCTCCCAGAGTGCTGGGATTATAGGTGTGAGCCCCTGCACCCGGCCTGCCCTCCTTTTTTTACACAATTTTTATGGAAACCAATTTAGTAGTTTGTGTTAAAGTGTCTTTTTTAAAAATTAAAAACATTCTTTAATTATTTGTAGAGACAAGTCTCACTATGTTGCCCAGGCTGGTCTTGAACTCCTGGGCTCAAGGAATTCTCCTGCCTTGGCCTCCCAAAGCACTGGGATTACAGGCGTAAGCCACCATGCCAGGCCTGTAAATGTGTTTTGTGATTAGAACGTGTTAGCTCTTGTTACTATCTGGGAGGTGACCTAGAGATGGATGAGGAAATGTGGCTCTTCAGCAGGAATGTCAAGGGGCTCGAATGGAAGAAACAGTCTGTGGTAGATCTGGCCTCATCGTGTGCCTCTTTGTTTTGTCCAAGCTACAGAGTCCTTACAGGACTCTGATCTAGTCTATTAAATGAGGATAACTTCCATTGGTAGAGATGTTTAAAAAATGAGTTTTTTTTTAAACCCACACTTCTTAGGGTTTAATGATAATCAAATGAGATAAAGGCTATGAAGGTCCTGGCCCAGTGCCTGGAATGTAGAAAATTTCAACAAAAAGTATTTTTTGAAACTCATATAGGCAGTGAAAGTGCTGAGATTCCCAGACTGAATACTTTCCCACTCTCCATCAAGATTCTTTGCCCTCTCTATTCTAGGAAAGTCCAATATGGGTGGCTCTCCCAAGACAGCTGTTGACAACATCAGAGAGATCGTGAACATTAACCAGAAGAGAAATGACTATCTGGGTGAGCCTCCAATCCCTCCACCCTATCTGTGCTGCCTCTGCAGAGGGGTATGGGGTTCCCAGCCAGGAGTCCCAGCACCTTGGCCCTTGTGCAGAATCACATAGTTTTATTTCTGTTATTCTGTATAAAGACAGCTGAGTGTCATATTGAAGAGTCTGGAATCAGACTGCCCATGGTCTCCACCTGGGTTTCATCTTCCTTTTCAAAAATTTTAAATTTATTCTTATTAAAACATTTTTTTTTTTAACCATGGGTCTTGGATAGAGAACCTTGGTTTCATTTCTTTTTCTTTTTCTCTTTTTGAGTTGGAGTCTCACTCAGTCGCCCAGACTGGAGTGCAGTGGCCGCTCCTGGTCACCGCAGCCTCGACCTGCTGGGCTCCGTCGATCCTTCCACCTCAGCCTTCCAAGTAGTTGGAACTACAGGCACACCCTACCATGCCCGGCTAATTTTTGATTTATTGTAGAGATGAGGTCTCGCCAAGTTGCCCAGGTGGGTCACGAACCCGCGGGCTCAGGCAATCCACTCACCTCAGCCTCCCAAAGTGCTGGGATTACAGGCTGAGCCACCAAGCCCGACTTGGTTTCATTTTTGATGTAGCCATGGTAATTTCTTCATCTGTTAAAGAGAATATTAGTAGGACTTACCGCATAGGCTGACAGGGGAAGATGTTCAGACAAACAGTGCTTGGCATAGAGAAATGCTCAGTATATGTTAGCCACAACACCACCATCACCGTCCATCGTTGGTCATCATCATCATGACCAGCTCATGTTTCAGGAAGCTTTCCAGGAAGAAGGGGCTGCGATTCCATGTAGGGAATGTCCCTTGTGTTTACTCTTCCCTTAGCATAGGTAGCTAACTAAGACTTCAGCAGTTGCAGCCTCTAAAGGAACAATTTTTCAGGTTAAGACTAAACACAAATTGCACTGACCTCTGAAAAGAATTTCAGAGAGATGCTCAGATGGGGAGGGCAGATGGTTTTGAGCCCCTAAATTTCACCTTCCCCTTGGGTCCTCTCCTTTCCATTCATGATGCTCTACCCCACCTGCCCCCCAGGAGTAAGCTGATTCCTCTTAAACTCTGGCCTCGGCCAGGCGCAGTGGCTCATGCCTGTAATCCCAGTACTTTGGGAGGCCAAGGTGAAAGGATTGCCTGAGCTCAGGGGTTTGAGACAAGCCTGAACAACATGGCAAGACCTAGTCTCTACAATAAATTAAAAAATCAGCCAGGTGTGATAGCTGTAGTTCCAGCTACTTGGAAGGCTGAGATGGAAGATCAGCTAAGCCCAGTAGGTCGAGGCTGCGGTGGTCATGAGTGTGCCACTGCACTCCAGCCTGGGTGACAGAGTGAGATGCCTACTCCAAAAAAAAAAAAAAAAAAAATTAACAAACAAACAAATAAACAAAACTCTGGCCTAAAGAAGACAAAACTCAAACCTCTTCTTTCTTAGCATCACTGGGCTAGGGTTAAATACTCAAAAAGCCTTTATTAACAAGAAGCAGGAAAACAAAGGAAAATAGTCAAAACACAGTGGGCATAATAATTGTCTAGCTCCCACTGTAACTGCTTCGGTCTGGGCACTACAGTTGAAAATGTCTGGGCACTGCAGTTTTAGGAAGGGAGGCTAGGGAAAGTCTCACTGAGAGGGTGACATTTCAGTCAAGACTTAAAAAAGATAAACAAGTGCGCTAGGTAGAAGTCTGGGGGTTGAGTGAGCCTAACAGAGGCATAGCTGATGCAAAGGGCCTGAAGTGAGAGTATGTCTGTGGATTTGAGGAACTTCATGGATGCTGAGTACTGGAGAAGAGTAAAGGGCAGGGAGTGTCAGGAAATGAGGGTAGATGGAGAAGGGAGGCAGGGCTCCAGCTCATATGGGCCTTTGTTGGAGCTAGTGAGTTCCAAATGACAGCCTGCTGCCTCATGGGTAGTCCCTCGGACACAAATTCTGGTGATTTCCCTCCTCCCCATCAGATATCTATGCCATCGGGGTGGGCAAGCTGGATGTGGACTGGCGAGAACTGAACGAGTTGGGGTCCAAGAAGGATGGTGAGAGACATGCCTTCATTCTGCAGGACACAGGGGCTCTGCATCAGGTCTTTGAGCACATGCTGGGTAAGTGGGCCTTCCCTGGAGCAGGGAGGATGCTGAGAAGCCAGCTGGGAGACCCAGGATTGGAACCCAGACACAGTACCCCTCACTTGTCTTCTTCCCCATTTGATCCTCACACCTGCAGATGTCTCCAAGCTCACAGACACCATCTGTGGGGTGGGGAATATGTCAGCCAATGCCTCTGACCAGGAGAGGACACCCTGGCATGTCACTATTAAGGTACCAGGAAGAAAGGGAGGCAGGGTTTGGATCCCAGAGGTAAATGTGGTCATGGGCCAGAGACATGGCAGTCTCTGAAGATCGCCTGTTCCCCTACAGCCCAAGAGCCAGGAGACCTGTCGGGGAGCCCTTATCTCCGACCAGTGGGTCCTGACAGCAGCTCACTGCTTTCGCCACGCTGAGGACCGCTCCCTGTGGAGGGTCACTGTGGGTAAGGCAGAAGCTGCACCAGGCTCCCAAACCTGAACCAGAAATCCCATCCCTTCAGGATCCCTGCTCTAGCATAATCTGCTATATCATTCCCAGGGGATCCCAACTCCAAGTGGGGCAAAGAATTCCTTATTGAGAAGGCAGTGATCTCTCCGGGGTTTGATGTCTTTGCCAAGAAGAACCAGGGAATCCTGGAGTTCTATGGTGATGACATCGCCCTGCTGAAGCTGACCCAGAAAGTGAAGATGTCCACCCATGCCAGGTGCCAGCATCTGGGATGGGAGGGTACCCTGCCGCTGAGAGTGCTCTGTGGAGTGCTGGAGGGTATACCTAGGACAGGCCCATGTCACCCTCACTCTTCTCCCCAGGCCCATCTGCCTTCCCTGCACTGTGGAGGCCAATCTGGCTCTGCGGAGACCCCAAGGCAGCACCTGTCGGGACCATGGTGAGTGCTGGGACATAGAGTGTGTGAGAGCTGAAGCCAGGGTTTTAGGGTTATGATAAGGACTAGGTTGCAGTCCCCAGGTGGGGAATTTGGATTCTGGGTAAAGCAACCAGCACCAACATCCCCTTCTCTTGACTGCAGAGAGTGAACTGCTGAACAAACTGAGCCTTCCAGCTCATTTTGTCGCCCTGAATGGGAGCAAACTGAACATTAACCTCAAGATGGGGTTGGAGGTGAGGGTCTCTGGTCAAGGATGGCGGGATCTCCCCAGGGCAGCTCCCAGAACATCTCTTCCTTCCCTAGCCCTGGCTGCTTTCTCCATCTGACTCAGGTCACTCCTCCTCCCAGGCCTAGCTGGTCTGCCAGGTGTTCCTGGGTCATTCATTCTTCTCTCCTGCTCCACCCCTACTCCAGCGGACTAGCTGTATCCAGGTCGTCTCCCAAGAAAAACACATGTTCCCCAACTTGACAGATGTCAGGGAGGTGGTGACAGACCAGTTCCTATGCAGTGGTACTGAGGAGGATGACAATCCCTGCAAGGGTGAGTCCCCCACCATGCATGCATTGCCAAGAGAAACTCCACCTATGTCCCTGTGACTAGCATGCATGACAGGACACCAGCGCGCTGCCCCTTGACACTGTCTCTTGTCCCTCCTTGCTGGCAGGAGAATCTGGGGGAGCAGTTTTCCTTGAGCGGAGATTCAGATTTTTTCAGGTAAGCAGGGGAAAGCTTGCAGGACCAGGGTTCCAGGATCTCAGCCTTGCTGGGGGGATGAGGGAGGCCTTTGAGGAAACCAGGGAAGGTGGGGCTTGGAGCCAGGGCTGTGGCAGCCTCCTACTCTTTTGTCTCCTCCTTTCCAGGTGGGCCTGGTGAGCTGGGGTCTTTACAACCCCTGTTTGGGTGCTGCTGACAAAAACTCCCGCAAAAGGGCTCCCCGCAGCAAGGTTCCGCCGCCGCGAGACTTCCACATTAATCTTTTCCGCCTGCAGCCCTGGCTGAGGCAGCACCTGGAGGGCGTCCTGAACTTTTTGCCCCTCTAATCATGGTCACTGACTCCTCTCCTGTCCTGCTAGGATCTGCCAACTCTCCCATCTCCTACCTCTGGAGGCCCACCCTCAGACCCTGTGACCCACCCTCACTCCTAGCTGAGTAAATCCCGGTCTCCAGGATCCCAGAGGGGGCATGCAAGCTGGCAAACCCCAGGGGTCCTGCCAGCTCAACTGCCTGCTACTCCCTCCTCCTCCTCCTCAGTCTGCGCCCAAATTCCTGGTTTACTGACTCACGCTCCTTTCACTTTCACATGGAATTTCCCAATTATGAAATTAATAAAAACCATTGATTTCCACATCTGTCTGTGCCTCTGCCTGGGGGCCAGGCAGTGCTGGCCTGGGTGCAGGGAGAGGCCAGAAAGACTCCAGCAACTACAGGAAGGCAGGTCAGAGACCCCACTGGACAAACAGTGGCTGGACTCTGCCCCGTAACACACAGTCAACAGGAGAGTAAGCTGGGGTCCTTGTTTCTGGTCCCTAAGTGGGTAGTCTGAGCTTATTGGGGAGGAGCTGGGGCCTGAGAGGCGGTGCCGAAGGGGAGAGTCCTGGACCTTGGGCAGCAAAAGGTGGGAGTTGTATAGTTTCTATTTCCTTGACTGGCAGTTTAGCGGGGCCCTCCCGCTCGGATGTTCCCGGAAAGTGATGTGGGCAGGGCAGGCGGGGCAAGCCGCAGATACCAGAACAAAGATTGCATAAAAGGTTGGGGGACGGTGGGGGGCAGGGGAAGGGAATGCGACCAGGCTCAGGTCTGCAGTCTCAGCTCAGACACTGAGCCAAGCAGACACACAGAGCAAGGCCAGACAGGTCATTCTGACCCAATCCCAGCTTTTCTCCTGCCTTCCATTGCCATGGGGAGCAACCTTAGCCCCCTACTCTGCCTGATGCCCTTGGTCTTGGGCCTCTTGTCTCAAGGTAAGCAGGGGTCACCTCCCTTTCTGCTGCCCCCAGCACACCTCCTTGGCCTGTAGGGCCTGGCTCATAAGCCTTTCTCTTCAGGTGTGAGCACAACTCCATTGCCCTTCACCAGGCCCCAAGTCTCCTGCTCTCTGGAGGGGGTAGAGATCAAAGGTGGCTCCTTCCAACTTCTCAAGGAGGGCCAGGCGCTGGAGTATGTGTGTCCTTCTGGCTCCTACCCGTACCCTGTGCAGATTCGCACCTGCAGGTCCACGGGGTCCTGGAGCAGCCTGAAGACGCGAGACCAAACGGTTGTCAAGAAGGCAGAGTGCAAAGGTTTGAGGGCTGTGACCGTGGGCAGTGACCTAAAGGAGGGACAAGAATAAGACTGGAGTTGTGTTGAGACCAGGTGGGCTGGCAAGATGGGCTGACCAGGAGTGAGAGCAGTTCTAGGGTGGCAGGTTGGAAGGAGGCAGGAGGAAGGGGAGCTAATCTTTATAAAGTATTTATCCTGGGCTTTCAGGCAGTCCTGGAAGTTAAGAGAACACTCAGAAATGGGGAGGGAGGAGCAGCAGGATACCCTATGGATTGAGGGCAGGTGGATGCTGCTCCTGTGCTATTTCTCAGTGACAGGGTCTGGAGACCAGGAGAGATACCCTTAAGGCAGCCCTTTTCTCCTGATGACTTCTACTTGTCCCTTCCCCAAAGCAATTCACTGCCCAAGACCACAGGACTTCGAGAATGGGGAATACTGGCCCCGGTCTCCCTACTACAATGTGAGTGATGAGATCTCTTTTCACTGCTATGATGGTTACACTCTTCGGGGCTCTGCCAATCGCACCTGCCAAGTGAATGGTCGGTGGAGTGGGCAAACAGCAATCTGTGACAATGGAGGTAAGAAGCATCCCCTCTTCCTGGGTTGCCCTCTCCCTGACAGTGCCCAGCCTAAGGAACAGGCACTGGGCAATATAACTTTTGCTCTCTGCCTTGCCTGGTGGGCCTCAAGCTGTGGCACTCATCTTTACATCTCATGTCTCTGCAGCAGGGTACTGCTCCAACCCGGGCACCCCCATAGGCACAAGGAAAGTGGGCAGCCAGTACCGCCTTGAGGACAGCGTCACCTACTACTGCAGTCGGGGGCTTACCCTGCGTGGCTCCCAGCGGCGAACTTGTCAAGAAGGTGGCTCTTGGAGTGGGACAGAGCCTTCCTGCCAAGGTGACCCTTGACCTGTGTCTACAGGGCAGATCCTGATCTCCCACCCCACTGTCCCTGCACCTTGGCACTGTCTTCTCTTCCCACTTCAGCTCTGCTCCTTCCTCACTTCTAAGCCTCCCTATAGAACTGTCCCACTCTTAGCCCTTCCCTTCCTGGAAACCCACCAGCCTGTCTCTCTGGTCACTGTGTCCCTGACCCTTCCAGACATTTGACCTGATTTCTGATCTCTCCCAGACTCCTTCATGTATGACACCCCTCAAGAGGTGGCCGAAGCCTTCCTATCTTCCCTGACAGAGACCATAGAAGTAGTTGACGCCGAGGATGGGCACAGTCCAGGTTTGAAAGCAGAGAAGGGAGGTGGGGAAGGGAATTGGGGGAGGATGGAGAAGGGGAAGGAGAACCGTGCACGCTAGAGTCTGAGTCTCTCTGCTGGCATTAGGAGAACATCAGAAGCGGAAGATTGTCCTGGACCCCTCAGGCTCCATGAACATCTACCTGGTGCTGGATGGATCAGACAGCATTGGGGCCAGAAACTTCACAGGCGCCAAGAAGTGTCTAATCAACTTAATTGAGAAGGTGGTGTCCCCTTCCCCTGAACTTGGGGACTCTGAATGGACCTCAGTGCCTTTCCAGGACTGGCTCCCTAATAATAATCCCAGCCCCTCTGAACCACAGGGCCCCAGAAAATCTCCAGGTTCTATTCTGTCCTCCTTCCCTTTACTTGCTGCAGCATCTTGACTGGTAACAGACTACTCCATGAACCTCAGCCCTTGAGGCTCCTACTAAGACCTTGCCTGTCCCAGGAAAGTTTCTGAATTCTCCCAATCATAGTCTACTTTCAGTGCCATGACTTCTTGTTCCCCTCACTCTCAGGTGGCAAGTTATGGAGTGAGACCAAAATATGGTCTAGTGACATATGCCACAGACCCCAGCATTTGGATCAAAGTGTCTGATGAACATAGCAGTGATGCAGACTGGGTCACAGAGAAGCTCAACCAAATCAGTTATGAAGGTCAGAGGTTAGGGAAGGGAATGATGGGAGGTCCACTTTGGGATCAGAAGGTTCAGGAGTTGTGTGGAGGGGGTTGTAGACCATGTTGAGGGGGACAGGGAGGACCACTTTGTAGTCAAAGGTTAAACATCAGGGTCATTGAGCAGTAGGGGTTAGGGAAAATGCTGGGGGCTTGGAGAGCCACTTTGTGGTTGAAGGGAAGTCAGTGGGATGACTATTAACTCAGAAAGCTGGAGATGTGGGATCTAGATGCTGATAGTTCTCTGGGGTTTAAGGATGACTTGGAGGACCAGGTGAGGTGATAACCTCTTCGTTCTCCACAGACCACCATGCTAGGTCAGGGACTAACACCAAGAAGGCCCTCCTGGCAGTGTACAGCATGATGAACTGGCCAGAGGACACTCCTCCTGAAGGCTGGAACCGTACCCGCCATGTCATCATCCTCATGACTGATGGTCAGAAGGGACCTCTCTCCTGCCCCAGTCTCCCACCCTCTCAGACCAGCGGGTGGCCTTTAAATACACTTGTAACACTAGACTCATGGTTGGGTCCCAGAATGGTACTCGTAGCTGGCTGTTGATTTCTCCTCCTCAAAGCCCTCTGTGATCTGCCACCTCCATCCCCTCCTCAACCTGCTCACCCAGCCATGTGCCACTGCATCTAGCCAATTTATCTTTCTTGACCTTTTATTTCATCTCCCATCCTCATGGCCTCTTTTGCAGGCTTGCACAACATGGGTGGAGACCCAGTCCCTGTCATTGATGAAATCCGTGACTTGCTGTATATTGGCAAGGATCGCAAAAATCCAAGGGAAGATTATCTGGGTGAGTGGCCTGCCTAGAACCCAGCACCCCACTTCTTCAGGGCCTGGACCCTCACCCTCTCTTTTTCTCTCAGATGTTTATGTGTTTGGAGTTGGGCCTCTGGTAGACCAAGAAAACATCAATGCTTTGGCTTCCAAGAAAAACAACGAGCAACATGTGTTCAAAGTAAAGGATATGGAAAACCTGGAAGACATTTTCTTCCAAATGATTGGTAGGAAGATACAAGAAGAGCATAAGGAATTCAACTCCTCCCAAAGTCCCCCTCCACCCTCTGAAATCACTTTTATTCCTCTACTCCTGAAGCCCTAGCAGTCTGAAGACTTTCTTACTGCTCCTACCTCACTGCCACTATTCATGTCTCCTGACAGTAGGTGATTCCCTATCTTAGAATCAGAGCCCTGAGCAACTCTGGAGATCCTTCTAGAGTTCATTTGACAAATGTGGAAAGAAGCCAAAACAGGTCAAGGGATACCAAGCTAGCAACAGGGTTGGGCCTGAAAAGTCAAGCCTCTGAAAGCATAGTCCCAAGTCCTTTCCACTATGCCGCAGTGGTTCCTTGTCTCCTAATGTGAGGAAACAAAGGCCCTTGGTCTTTCTTTCTCCTTATGGGCCCCTGCTTCCCATACATATGCAGGGATCCCTCCCCAAAAGGCTGTTGCCATTTGGTTATGAAGTGTCCCAGCTTTCAGCACGTTTTCCTTCTTTGCCAGATGAAACCAAGACTCTGAGTCTCTGTGGCATGGTTTGGGAACACAGGGAAGGTACTGATTACCACAAGCAACCATGGCAGGCCAAGATCTCAGTCACTGTAAGAACAGCGTACCAGTAGTGGGTACTTGTGGGAGGTGTAAAGGCAAAATGGGGGTAGGGAAAGGGCAAAATGTTCATATTAGATTGTGGTTTGTGAAAGTTGAGTTTTCTCCTTTCATTGTTCTGTTTCCAGCGCCCTTCGAGTGGACATGAGAACTGTATGGGGGCTGTGGTGTCCGAGTACTTTGTGCTGACAGCAGCACACTGTTTCACTGTGGATGACCAGAAACACTCGATCAAGGTTGGCGTGGGTAAGAATGCGACAGGTCCTGAGCTGCAGCTACACCCTCCAAGCAACCCATTCCATTTCCTTAAGATCCTACACTCTGTCCTCAATACAGCCCCCTCTTGCAACCCAGTCAGGGATGGGAGACTTGAAGTTAAGGATGACATGGTGCCAGTGGCAGGAAACTGCCCACAGAGCAGTAGTACCTACTCTCCTCTTACCACAGGAGGGAAGAGACAGGAACTAGAGGTAGAAGAAGTCTTATTTCACCCCAACTACAATATCAATGGGAAAAAGGAAGCAGGAATTCCTGAATTTTATGACTACGACATTGCCTTAATCAAGCTCAAGAATAAGCTGAAGTATGACCAGACTGTCAGGTGAGAGCATCTGGATCCCTGAGGAAAGGCTGGAAAAGGTGAGCTGGACTGGGGTCAAGGACAGGCCCTGTTTGCTGTTCCTGACTTTCCCATCTCCTTAACAGGCCCATTTGCCTCCCCTGCACTGAGGGAACAACTCGAGCTTTAAGGCTTCCTCAGACAACCACTTGCCAGCAACAAAGTAAGACATATTCTGAGAGAGGACAAGAATGAGGTTCCAAGACACAAGTGAGGCATGAGAGGGTGGTGCATGAGGAGCAGATGCCACCCAGTCCAGTGCCCAACTCAAAGGAAGGGCCTGAGGGACATCTGCTGAGTGACAAAAGCAATGGGGAGATGGTGGGGGGACAGCTGAAGTCACCCAGTCTGTCCATTTATCCAGAGGAAGTACTTCTCCCTGCAAAGAATATCAAAGCTCTGTTTGTGTCTGAGGAAAAAAAGAAGCTGACTCGGAAGGAGGTCTACATCAAGAACGGGGATAAGGTGATAAACAGGATCCTAAGGAGGTCTTCTAGGCCCCAATCCTTCCTAAACCATCTCTATTCATCACCCTTCTCCTTGCTTCCTATCTCCCCTACAGAAAGCCAGCTGTGAGAAAGATGCTCTACGTGCCCCAGGCTATGACAAAGTCAAGGATGTATCTGAGGTGGTCACTCCCCAGTTCCTTTGCACTGGAGGGGTGGATCCCTATGCTGACCACAATACTTGCAGAGGTGAGAGTTGTGGTTGTGCTGCAAGTTCCTGAGGCTCAAGAGTCCTTTTCCCTACAGCTTTTCCTCTCCTTGTAGGTGATTCGGGTGGTCCCCTGATTATTCACAAGAGAAGTCGCTTCATTCAAGTGAGTTCTCCCTTTCCTATCTGCGGGGAGATGCCAAGTGGTCAGCATGGGCCCCAAACCAGGAAGGTTCCATGCATGTGACCAGTAATGGGACCCGGTGGGCAGAGCCTGCCTCACTTTGGGGCCATGTGTCTGTCCTGTGTGTGCCAAGGAGAACAGGGCTGAGTTGTGTACCTAGTCTAATTCCTTTAGGTCAGCTCAGTGAACAGCCATGCTCCCAGGATTGGAAGGAATTCTACAAAACAATCCATGGTATCCCCTTGCCTTTGCAGGTTGGTGTAATCAGCTGGGGAGTAGTGGATGTCTGCAAAAACCAGAAGCGGCAAAAGCAGGTACCTGCTCATGCCCGAGACTTTCACATCAACCTTTTCCAAGTGCTGCCCTGGCTGAAGGAGAAACTCAAAGATGAAGATCTGGGTTTTCTATAAGGGGTTTCCTGCTGGAAAGGGGCACGGGACTGAATTAAAACAGCTGCGACAACACTTGTGTTCTAGATCCTTTTGGGGCCAAGAGAGTGGAAAACGTGTACTGGCTATGTTGTTACAACTGAGATAGAATCTGATAGCCGTTTTTAAAGGCTTAACCCCAATCCCAAGTGCTGAAAAACCAGAGGCTTAGGGAGATGTGTGAGCTTCCACCTCAGTGTTTTACTGAGACCAGCATTGGGGCATATGAGGCACAAGGAATCCAGCTCCATTCCCTAGAAGCCATCCACAAGGTTTTCCTTGTAGATGTCATCACTGTAGACAATCTGGGTCCTCTTGTCCCGGTGGCAACCCTTAGGGCTGTTCTGGACAGCTAGGGAGGGAGGAGAGGGACAGTTAAGATCTAAAGAAGCTCATCCATCAGACCTGAGGCCCTCATTCCTGACTACCTCACTCCTGGCCACTGGCCCTTGGAAGCCCAGTTTTCATGCTGCCCCCTGGTGGCCAGGATGGCCTGTCTCCTCTCAGAAGGAGAGTGTAAACGGTTATTGTGACACATGTGGATATCGTAATGTTTTGTTCTTAGAAAAACTCCAAATGTTGTCATTGCTGAAACATGTGAATGATGTCAATCCACTATTTTTAGCCAATATGTCAAAAATTAAAAATTGGAAAATCTCTGTAGCCCTTTGTTGATATGCTGGTCAATTCTGGTTCCTTCTTTAGTCTGCAGAGTACTCTTTGAGCCCTCTCTGCTCACTCCTTTCCCAGGAAAACCTATTTTCAGGTAACATGAGTTACTCACACTAAGAAATGCTACTAGCCCCACCAGGAGAACGAACGCATCCAGGGTGTAGCTTTGGCCCTCAGCATTCTCCCTGGGTCCTCTAGCTGCTCCTTCCCCTTTCTCTCCTTCTTCCACCAGATATGTCCCTCTTTTCACCTCATCCAAGGATTCCATCTCTACCACCCTGGGGCTAGAGAGAATCCCTCCCCACACCAGTGCCCATTCTCTGTGATCTTTGTACCTCAACACTGTTGACCACTCCCTCCTTCTCAAAGCGTGTGTCCTTTGGCTTCAGTGGCCCAGGACCCTCTTGTGCTGCGCCCAGCCCTCTGACCCCTCCTCCTGTCTCCTTTGCTGCATCCTTAATGTCAGCCTAAGATGTCAGGAAAGCTGGGGACATATGGGGCATGAGGAAGACAGTCCTGCTTCCTACACAGTTCCTGAATACTCCTCAAGCCAAGATCTGGCTTATTTTTGTCTCCAAAATCAGTATCCCCTAATGATACTATTGTCTTGTAGCCAATGTGTCATGGAGATGACTTAATCTGTTTTCATTCACACCTGCTTACCTCACATTTGGGTTCTAGACCCTTAATTTAAAATATTTATGAAACCTACTCTACTCCATTTCAAAGTGAACAAGCCCCATAAGACATTCATCTTCCTCACCAGACTGACTCAAGCTCCCATTTTCTTCCCTGTTCCAGTCATTGTTCTGGGAGTTGTTTTCAATCCTTTTCTCTTTTTCCTTTACCTCTAACTGATAGAGGGTCTGGCAATTCTTCTTCCTAGTCCCACCTCCACAAAATCTGGCCTCTATCACCTCTAAGAAATCCAGGGATGTGTAGGGGAACAAAAATAAGGGGTGGGCAGTGGGGGAGAGGATGGGGAAGGAAGAATCCCATTCTTACCGAGGGAGCCCCAAACAGACTTGCCAGTAGCAGCGTCCAGCATGGGCTGTTTGCGGGCTATGTTGACTTTGAGCTGTATGGACTCCACCTGGGTCCCATTGAGCTGGAAAAGAAGAGGGGAGGAGACAGAGGGTGGGGGAGGAAAATATTATAGATAAACTAAAGGAGTTGTTCCAGGGCTGCTATGCTAGGTGTAGACTGAATAGGGATCTGAGAATATAAATTTTTCTCTGTGAATAGGGACTTTCTTTGTCGGGGGAACCAACTTCCTCCTGACTCCCAGTATTTTAAGAAGAAAACATGAGGGTGGCAGGAGGGATGAGAAGAACAGATTTGGGAAGTCCCAACCTCAGCAACAGCCTGATCTGCAGACTCCATCTTTTCATAGGTGACGAAGGCACAGCTGGGATGAGAGAAAACAGAGTCAGTGGAGAGCCAATGGGTTCTTCTGAACCCAACCAAACTCAATGTAGGGCAGTTTTCTTCCCCAGGTCTCACACCCCTGGGTTCTCCTAGGACTTCTCATCATGCCCCGTTGTTATCCTTACTTTCTAGGTGGGTCCATGGAGAGGTCAATGATATTTCCAAAGGGAGAGAAGGCCCCACGGAGGAGGGTAGGTGTCATGTCTTCTCCGTACACATAGAGAGTATTCCCCTTCCGAGGGGCCCGGCGTTCAGGAAATGAGTCTGATCCTATGGGATTAGGAATGACAGTCACAAGACATAACCCACCTCACATTCCACTTACTAGAACCTACATAAACCCTAGCTGAGGTCACCTTCCTCTCCAACCAAGATCACTCACTGCGGAAAGGGCCCTCTCGATCTCGGTCTCGGTCTCGGTCCCGATCTCGGTCCCGGTCTCGATCTCGGTCCCGATCTCGATCTCGGTCTCGTTCCCGGTCCCGGTCTCGATCCCTGTCCCGTTCCCGGTCTCTGTCTCGATCTCGGTCCCTGTCTCGGTCCCGCTCCCGATCTCGGTCTCTGTCCCGGTTCCTCTCATGGCTGCGGTCCCTGCTGCGGCTTCGGGGAGGGGAGGCTGAGGAGCGGGCACCACTACGTTCTTCATAGCCCCAGTCAAAGCTTCGAGGGGGGCCATCACCAGCCCCTGGGCCCTCTGTCTCTTCTCCATCTGGTCCCAGTTCTCGAAGCCGATCACTAGAAGACACGAAGCTGGGGAGGAGAAAGTGAGAATCAAAGGGGGCTTTTACCTCCTTGTCTCAGACCCTGTGGAGATTCAACACTCCCTCTGAAGCCCATCTCCTTTCATTCCAGTTCTAAACCTCCCAAGAACTTGGGCAATCAACCCCACCACCAAGTGGGCCCAGTCCTATCTCTCTAACCTCTCAAATAGAGATTTCCTCTGGGGACGTCTGGATGACTGAAAAAGAGACCAAGAACAATTAAGATGATTCTTTGGACCAAATGATCTGGACATGTGGTTCAAAATATGTGAGTCTCTCATCTTCTTCACTCCCAAGCCCCTCAAGGATGGAGATTAGAAACCTTTACCTCCTGCAGGTCATCGTCAGCAGATATGCTCCTCTGGAAAGGCTGGAAAGTGGGGACTGGTCCCTTCTCAGGGTCCTGGAGAAATGGACAGACCTCAGTGAAGGATCAGTAGGCCACCCAACCACAGCACAGAGGTGTTCGATTTCCCTCACCATCTTCTTGGCTTCTTCCGATCTGTTCTTTTAATTCTACATACATTTCTTATCTGACTATGGGTTATTTTTAATAAGTGACCTGAGGTATTTAGTTCATCTAAACCTCTCTTGAATCTGATGACATTTTCAGCCTATTCAACTCCCAGGGCAACAAATTCCAAGAGCTCTAACCAAGGTGGATTAGAACCACAGTATGTGTAAAGTGGAAGAGAATTTAGGAGTCACCAGTTTTTTCATTTTACAGATAAGAAACCTAAGATTCAGAATGGTATAGCAATTTGCCAATTGCTGTTGATTGAATATATGTTCCCTCCCCCCAAATCCATCTCTATTTCAACTTGGAGGGATGTCCTCTGAAGTCGAGTTCCCTGAATAATCCTCCTGCATGTGCTCACCTTTAACTTTCCCTCTAGGGTTCGAGAACGCTTGAAGCCTGAGTTCTTGGTCTCAGCCTTGATGGCACTGATGGCTCCTGACTTCACCAGCTGCTTTGCCTGCTCTGTTGCTGTGGCTGTGTCTACCACAGGCTGCTCTGACAGTGCTGGAGTGGCAAGGGAAGAGGCATTACGTTGGCCAGGCTGTGAGAGAGGTCAGCCCTTGCTGCCCACTTCTAGGCCATTCCCATTTCCTCTGCCACTCACAGCGTTTGACACCGCCTTGGCTGGCTGTGTTGCTGCTACTTTGCTTCTTCAGAGCCAGCAATGCCTTTTTCTGCGAACAAGGGTGGGAAGAGAGGGGTCAGTGAGGGCTAGCCCCTAGGCACATCACTCCAAGGACACCTTTCTTGGTGCCCCTGGAGTGGTGCATTGAGGCAGCCCTAACTCTCACGTCTGGTCCCCCAGATCATGTACAATGTCAGTGATACTTAATCTAACCAAATCATGGAATTCAGAGGCTTTTCAGAGTCCTAGATTTTTGAAGTTGAAGACAAATAACTCACTCATGGACTGGAGCCCCAGGATATAAGCTGCAAGAAAGTATAAGCCTACGTGCCTTTCTTGGAGGCTTCATCCATCTATTCCTTGTGTATTTAATGAGGTCCAATCATGACTCTAACAGGAATACCCAGAAGTCTAATGCATGGCTCCTATCCTCAAGAGGCTTACGGTCTGAGGAATAAGATGACTAGAGCGAATTGCCAAGAATAATTATAAGAGGTGCAGACTACTTGTAGCTGAAAGTAAGATTTTCCAATGTTCATGGCTGTCAAGCTAGGTGCTGAGTAGAATCCGCACAACACCAAGAAGACAAAGAAAACAGGATGGCAAAGATGCAGAGATGCAAAGGCTTTGGGAATATGTGCCATGGGAGTGGTGAATTATTCTAGTTGACTAGGCAGAGATGCCAAGGTAAGGTTTGGGGGCTTTGGTATATAGACAATGTGAAACCACTTATGGGTTTTGAGAAAGGGAGGGGGCAGAATTTTGTGTTTTCAATGGGAAGCTTTAACACAAGTGAAGAAGTCTGTTTAAAAAAAAAAGACCAAGGCCAGGCACAGTTGTTCACTCCTGTAATCCCAGCACTTTGAGAGGCCAAGGTGGGAGGATTGCTTGAGGCCAAGAGTTCAAGACCAGCCTGGGCAACATAGCGAGACCTGTCTCTACAAAAAATTTAAAAGATTAACAAGGCATGGTGGTGCACGCCTGTAGCCTCAGGTACTCAGGAGGCTGAGGCGGAAGGACTGTCTGAGCC